AAAAAAAAGTATTCAAAAAAAGGGGGGAATTTTATTTAATCCCCCCCCCCCCCCCCCCCCCCCCACCCCCGCACCACAATTACCACAATCACAGCCAGCAATTGCTTATAGCCAGCCGGAACAGACGTGCTGTTATTGCCCCTCAAGCACGACAGCTGCTGCAGCTGCTCGTTCTACCCCGTCTATTGCCTTCTCAACCAGGATCTCGCTCCGTATGCTCAAACTGCACAGCCTCCTGCTCAAGCACCACGACCATGTCTCCAGATTCATGACTACCATCCATCGCAACCCAACGCCTCGTCGACAGATATCCACTTGCTGAATTCCCCGAAGGGACGATGATGGATCGAGATACGGATACGACAGAATCATTGCGTCCCGGCGTGTTTGACCCAAGGGTTATTATCGCTGGTCGTCGTCCCGGCGCACTATCGCGTTGGTGATGGCGCGGAATCGAACCGCTACCAGACAATACCTGCCGCATTTCCTGGTGTTTTCGCCTCGACTTCTGCTTCTCTGTCCGATAAAACTGTTGTGGAGCCCGATTCCATCTTTTGATCACCTTCCGACAGGGACGAGCAGCCATCTCTGCAACCTCCTTTATCCTCTGTCGATTAGCTCCGCCTTCACAAATAACCCTGCGCGCCCTGTACGCCCGGCAAACATTCTGCCAGTCATCGAGCTTCTCACACCAGCCACCCATCCCTTCGTAGTATGCGTTCGCCTGTTTATTTGACATCTCGAACCCCTGCGGAGGTCTTCGAAGAATCCAGCTTGCCGGGTCAATGGCGCCGTCAGGAGGTTCCTCAGCCGAGCCTTCGAATAATTCAACTGCTTTTAAGAATTCCCGTGCCCCGGATGACTTCCTGGCGCCATTAATGGCCACTCGCCATGAATCAAGTCTCGGTGCGTGTATCTTCAGACGATGCTGCGTGGGGTATTTGGGTCTAAAGGTGTTATTTTTCGGCGCAGGTAGAGGGTAATTGAATCTGGGATCTCCATGCTCCCTCCGTTCTGTAACTGAAACTCTTGAAACCGGATCCAGCACTGTCCACGTAGACCTATTTAACCAATGGTTTGCGAGTAGCAGAAACTGAAACGGTTGGCGACCAGGCTCAACTTCACTCGAGAGCCATTCGAGCCTGCGATCGAGGTCATAGATCAATCTAACTTCAGCATTGCTCAATAGAGTCTGTGGGCTCGCCCATGGCCCAACCCGCTCCTCTTGCTGAGCTTTTGGGAGCTGGAACGAGACGGCCCTATTTTGCGCTGGGTGGAGCGGCTGTCTTGGGAGATTACTGAATCCTGTGGACGGCGGTAATATTGGTTGGTGGATGGATTTGTCGGCATTATAAGGTTTTTTTCCTGGATGGATTAGGTTGCTACTTTGGGCGAGTGGGGATCGAATTGCATCCCCAGTTCCATCTACAGAGAGTGCGCCCAGTGAAACGTCAGAGAGATAAGCTGCCTGATGCTGTGGAGGCCCACGTTGGATACTAGGGGTAAACGTGGGCAATGAAGGGAATTGAGGAGTGTTCGTCTCGGGAGTGAAAGACTCAGAGGTACGGTTTCGGATTGGGATCCGAGAATAGTATTCTGAAGACTCAGACTGGTAATCAGATGATCTCAGGGCTTTCAAAATTCCTGATAGGGGGCTTCCCGGCCGTCCAGCCAGTCCGTGAAGGTAGGGAGGTGGTTGCTCAATCGGTTGGAGTTGCATATGTGCGGCCCAGGCTTTGTATTTCCAACTCAGCGATTTTTCCGTAACCACCGCAGTTTGGGCAACCACCAGATGATTTTGACCTTCGTCGGCCGGTACTATCGTTCGAAAACGACCATAATATAGTCTTGGAAAATGTATCGGCTGGACCGTGCTCCGTTGAAAACCTTCTGAAGCAGACTTCCTGTGAGCTCCAAGGGCGGGTATTGACTCAACATGTCCTGGGGATGTAGGAAGGTGAGACAGTGAAACACATCGCCTTAATCCATTCTGTGAGAAATCAGGTGTTGGTGTTCGTTGGCAGCGGGCACTGCGGTTTGAACTGTCCGCCGATAAAGGCAGAGGTTCAGCACCCCGTGAATTGAAGGGAGTCCGACCAGCCACCTTCTGTCCAGAAGTTCGACGGAAGCCGTTATATAACATCGACGGGAGTATTCTGTCATTGAAGCCATCAAGGAATATTGGTGATCTCCCTGATCGTGGGCGTTTACGGGCCTTTACAATTTGGGCGGAAATTTTAATAGAATTCCGCAAACCAGGTTTTGCCTTCGAATTTGTCTCTGGGTGGTGCTTTTCTGAATCAGCAGGACGTTCTTTCGACACTTTACGAGCCAAATCGGCGTTTGCATGCTCATAGCTCTTCAACCATCGAGGGAGCCAGCGGACATGCCTTTTGTCCTCGAAGTGTTGTTCCACAGCAGCACCTTTTGGATCCCACCATACCCAGTTGTAATCAGCATGAGACGACCTCCATGCGATCTTTTGTCGAAATTTCCTGTATCGGCTCTTCCTGCGCGCCCTCTTTGCCTCGTGCTCGGCCAAAGGAACCCACCCGTGCCACGTTTTTGCATATCGGATAGACTTACTATTCCCGCCCAGGACCCTGTGTCTGGTAAACCGACGGAGAAACGAGGACAACTTCCAAAAGTAAATAGTGAGTATGAAAATAGAAAAGGTGGCAATCATGATTGCCAAGAAGGTTTTCAAGCTAAAGAAAGTCGTCACTGGTACAGCTTCTCCGGTAGGGCCGTTCGCGGGGCGTGGCGGCAGGACGTGTGTTTGTGCTTGCCTAGTCCGAAGGGGATGTTTATGAATGGGTGCCATATTATTCCCATCATCACTGGATCAATCAAGCAGAGTTGCTATCTCTCCAGGGCCGCCAAGTTAGCATCCATCCGAAAGTGCTATATCCCCAGGCAAGATAAGGACAGTGACAAAGATAATCTCCCTAATCCATTCCCTGGAAAAAACTGTCTCTGCGACACAGGCAGGCAGCGCGTGGGATAGGAAACTTTTGACGACGGATCGGTGACTAGAGTTGACCGGCGTGAGGGGGGCAAAGCTGGATTGCGATGATACCTTCAGGGGGAAGCAGGCAGGCTGCAAAAATGCAGGCGGGATAGAATGTAGCAATTGTGGTATAATATTAATGAATAAAAAAAAACGAATCATTAGAGAGCGCCATTTGAGAATGTCGGACTCGAGGTTGAAGCCCCTTAAAAGTGCCAGCCGGGGACACTCATTGCACGGGAGAAAGAGCCATCCGCCACAACCTGGCGGGGGGGGACGTCCATACGTCGTCCATACGTTGTCCATACGTTGTCTATACGTTGCCCATACGTTGTGTTCCATTCATTCAGACTGAAGCTGGGCCATTTCGGAGCGCAATAGCGGGTATTGCGACTGCAGAAGAAAAGAGAGAAAGCCTGCTCAATCGATGATCTCTTGACGCAGAGGGCTCCGTCTACACCTTCATCGGAATGGACTAGACAGTGCTGTATATAGCCATATCATTTCGCAAACACAAGAAGCCATGCTCATGAGAATAGGCTCGTAGGATTCCCGTACTCCGTCGTATATGATATGTGTGACATTCCCGGAGTTTGTTTTCTGTTCAGAGGTGGAGGAAGAGCAGCCGTGTGTCCATCATTTGAAATTCAGCTTCAAGCCAATGAGAATATAACTAACTATAGTTAACTATGCGCCTGCGGAAGTAATCGCGGCGCGAGGATTTTATCTGATGCGTAGTTATTGGGGTAATTCCACATGGCTACATCTGGCTCTCTCTGGCTTGATAAAGAAATCATCCTCCACAGAGCGCAACAAATAGGAGTTGTCTGAGGGTTCTATCCATGGTTGTTCTGGTGGGCCTCGGGAAGCTGAAGACGGCATCCATGGATGAACAGCTCCCCGGTTGGCGAAACGCACACACTCTTCCAAGGTTATTCACCTAACTTAAACTCTGTCACTCCTTACTTCAAGACAATATCTATCCTCTGCATTTGCTCCATCCGATTTCCATCCATTGGAGTTTGTTCTCTCTGAACACGGTAAGGCTAACACCTGGATTATCTAACTACACCATCCGTATATCCTCAACTTGTAACTGTCAGAATGTGTCGTCGTCATCTGTGTTCTTGATTCAGGCTGATGGGGAAAATGCCTCTTCTTGAAAGCAATCAAGCGGGGATACGCCCAACATCCCGAGTCAGACAGGATGATGTGAACAGGTTGTTCCGAATTCCAGTCTGGAGAATATCTTTCGTGCGCTTGGGAAAGCCTCCATGGATTTTACCCGTCTCGTTCTTAACCCCAGCCTTTTCCAATAGCAAAAGAGCTTCGGGACAAATTGGCTATTGCTTCAGAACCGTCGGGGGTTTGACTTTTGATCAACACCCAAGGTTGCATCTGGGTTAATGCCCGTGGAATACGCGCCGCTAGAACCCTCCCTCCATCCCGGACAATATGGGACATCCCATCTTGGTGTGCCATAGTTCTGCCATACTGATGGATTAGCCCATCAGTAATCCCCAAAGGGATGATCCAAAATCCTTGGTATATATATCTTCCTTGCCCATGTTTATTGCCACTCCCTTCCTTTAAATTGAAACAGTAATTCAATGGATGTCAGGATGGAATTCAACCAAGTTAACACCGGAGGAGTCTGTATCCCTCAGACCAGCTCGGGGCAAACTCCGCTCAACACAGATATCCAATATAAATGGAATCCCCAATTGTGGTTGTTGATAGGGGGTCTTGCTACAAAGGGACAGCTTCTCCTGCAATGATATAAATCACCAATTCTCCCAAAGAGAGTTATTTTAAATTTTCCATTCATTCACGATAGCCATTACTTTTCAGCTCACAACAAACACCTGCGTCTCCTGAGTGGGCTCTTTAATACTATTAAAATGAACCTCAGTCCGAACAGAGAGCAAATCATCAATAACCACGAGTGACCCAACGAAACACTCTTTTTGGGACGTTGACGGGGGGACGGCCTGCCAGTTGTAACAAGACACTACAACTCCTTACCAAAATTCAGTATCAAGCCGCCGTTGAGAGTGAAAGTCCGCAGGAATTTTTGATAGAAATCGATACAGCGGGCCACAATGGATGGAGGCAGGGTGAAATCCATTGGCCTCTGTGTTGTCCAAAGATTACCATTTGTTGTCAACGGATTGACGGATCAGACACCCATTGCGCAAATCCATTGCGCAAATCCATGGCGTTGTGGCCGAAGCGCAGAGCAGCCTGCGTTCTATCATATCCAAGAGCGTCTGTATTCCGCAAGAAGGATTTTTCTTATTTTTCCTCTTTCTTTGTCTGTGGTGGCGAAGCTATAAATTCGAGTCTTCAAATTCAATTGCTTGGGCAATATTGTCAGATCCAGAGGAGAATGAAGAAGATGGAACTCACGAAGAGGAGCATGAAGAAAGTGTGTACTCTGTACAGTTCTTTCGATTACTCTGTCTTTTCTTTTCTTCTTCTCTCCTTTTCTTTACGAACCGGTTTACTCTCACACTTCCACCTGACTCTTAACACAATTCTCCTCGAAACGTAGCCTAGGCAGAACGACACAAACTGTCTTACAATAAGTCAAGGGGGAAGGAAGATTGCCAGCGACTGGATAAGGTTGCATTCAGGCGTCGTGCCTGTGTAAGGGGAAAGGTGACGGCAGCTGAGCCATACTCTGTAGGCTGCTTTGGTAGTTTGGACACACACTTGCAAAGTCCATTGAAGCGAAAACATAATCTATGTGGTGATGATTCCGGGAAGTCCCCAAGCGGATGGACTGTGTAGTTATTCAACGCTGCGGAGAAAGTGTTCCGGGCAAGGTAACTTGTAAAGCTGGTGTGAGAAGGAGAAATCCGTCTGCAAAAATAGTTCGTACTGAGAAAATATGAATGGTAACTACCTAGTTAGATTTGACTTGAATGAAAGCTTTACATATGCAAACAGATTAAGCAAATGATTGCGCTTCAGCAAATGCCTGCTAAAGCGAAATTTGAAGGCAAAATGTAGTGCTGCGAAAAAGTCTTCGAATGATGTGATAAGACAAGGAGACAAAAACGAAGTAAACTATGTCCAAAGTTCCAAACTCAAGACAGGCTGAAGTAAACCCAAGAACCGAGAGTTAGTTAGCCGACTGTTCGTAATGGTTAATAGTCAATCGGAAGCTTCCTTGTTCATCCGGCCGTTTCTTTTACTCTCGAGGCGGGTTTAGGGCTGGTGGATTCTGCTGCTTGGCGCAGTGAGGCTGAATGAGTGAAGAGTTGGAGCTGCCAGAGAGATCCAGGAACCTCGGCAGCAATAACTAACTACACAAGGGCAACTAGCCAACTAGTTTATCGAAGAATGATGATATGAGATGCTCTATGTGCCACACAGGTCCTATGTATTAGAAGCGCAGTGCCCACAAATCGTCTGTTCTTATCTTCGTCCATCATGAAAGAGTCGATAACTCTGGCTAAAGACCAGGCTTTGATCCTAGCAACGATAAGTAAAACTAACACCGCGGCTGTCCAAAATCCGCGGAGAATCCTTGACCCTATTATTGTACCCGTGGTCAGCAACCGTGTCGTCATAGGCAGGTTAAGAAGATCCTGGGTTATCCGCATCAGCATCATTCCTGAGGGCCACGGAGTCGCAATTCTGAGTCACCCGATAGGAAGGTTGAATTGCAATCTTCGAAATGTCATTGGCCGTTTCAATCACAAAAACTGTCAATGAATCACTGAAGTTGGCAGTCCATGAAAAAAAACATATTCCGGAAATCAGATCATGATGTGAAAAGTAGTTCGCTTATATTTTTGGCGTGATTATTATTTTTGAATTTTTTCCCCCCCCCCCCCCCCCAACCATCTTCTGTGGTGGATCATGGCCGGCCATGTGAAAATAGCCTGTTGGGACCATCAATGATATGGGAAATGGATTCTAACTCAAACTAGGAAGAAATTCTAGCTGTTGTTGGAATCTGGCCCAGCACTCTCAAGCAAACCCCCCCCCTCCCCCTCCATGGCTGGTATAACTAGCTGGTCAGAACACCGCTCACGGTCTGGATGGAGATTGGACATTGCATGTGTTGGTGCCCATTCTCGTCGACATTGGGCCCAGAATCAGCAGCAAATCTGGTCAACCCTTGCAGCCTTTCCCGTTTTTAGGCACAACTTTTCTTTGGTTCCTTAGTTTGTCGAATTCCATATTCGCTTGCAGGTCATCTCCCAAGACCGCTAAGACTTGGCTTTAGTTGGACGGGTTAAACCTTTTTTCTCGAGACGGCGTTCTTGATTCGGCATTCCATTCCCCAAACGGATGTTTCATTCGTCTTTTAGAGAGGGAGCGAAAATTGTGACACCAGCAAACGGCTCAGCTGATGACATTTAACTGGCTCGTAGGTCCCTGGAATGCCAACACATGAGGCAACTGAGGAAGAGAGAAAAAGTTAAGGCGAGAGTCGAGACACACCACCGAAGGAACCTACGCCACCTGGATGGAATTAGAAAAGGCATGGTGAATTTTCTGCCCATTTTAACGAAGGGGATATGGCAAAACAATCCTCACATGCTTCTTGCGGCTGAGTTATACCTCTAGAGCACTTTCTTCTTTCGTGGGAGAGGCGGGAAATTTAATGAATTAAAACCACTGTGGATGTCAGGAACATCGAAGGCATTGACTAGCTTCTTCTCTAATTAAAAGAGGTTTAACTTCTTTATCTGGTGCGCTAAAACTTTTCTTTCTTCTCATTC